CAACAAAAGCCTAGGCTAGAGAAGTCCTTTTATTGAATTAGGAGAAAACTTTAGTCCATGATCCAAACAGTTCTATGGTCTAAAGTTTTAGTTGTCTAAAGTTTAGTCCTAAACTTTAGACAACTAAACCGTAGACCTAAGAATCCAAACACGGCCATACATGTTGTGGTTAGGGGGTGGGCATAATTAACCAAAAACTAAACCGAAATACCCGAGGCCAAAATCGAAAACTTCGATCATAGGTTTGGTTTCAGGTTCAAGGTAATTGAATTTGGTTCCTAACCTCGGATAATCGAGATAACCAATGTTCTAGCCCAACAACAAATTTCAGCACAATCCCATCTATGCAACCTCAGCACATCAACCTTCTCATCCCCCACGGCGCATCCTCCACCTAGCCGCTAGCCCCACCTCGCTATGATGTTTGTATGTGGTAGTGCATATTTATTCAGGTATCACACCATAGGTATGATTCAAGGTTTTGGTATTCAGTCTTATGGCAGCAAAAATTATGGCACACACTTGGATACATTGGAATTTAGAATATGGGTATATTATTTCTTATTATCGAGAAGTCACATGCATCAGCATGAAAACTTCATTATTACAGTACAAATCATAAGCAATCTAGAAGATGGCACCACCAATGATGGGCTGCTGCAATAAGGCAGCAGGGTTCGTCAGAGCTTGTTGGTTGAACGGCACCAATTGTTGTTGTTGCAAGAAGGTGGCAATGTTTGGCAGAACCTGTGGGTAGAATGGCAGGAGCTGTTGTGACTGCAATAAGGCGGCGGGGTTTGTCAGAGCTAGTTGGCTGAATGGCAGCAATTGTTGTTGCTGCAAGAAGGCGGCAATGTTTCCCACAACATGCGGGTAGTATGGTAGAAATTGTTGTTGTTGCAGGAAGGCGGCAATGTTGGCCACATCCTGCGGGTAGAATGGCAGCAATTGTTGTTGTTGCAAGAAGGCAGCCATTCTAGCCAAAGCCTGCGGGTAGAATGGCAAAAGCTGTTGTTGCTGCAAGAAGGTAGCAGGGCTCCCAACATCAAGCTGGTTGAATGGTAGTAGTTGTGTCTGCAAGTAGGCAGCGGGGTTCACCCTAGCTAGTTGATTGAATGGAAGAAACCGTTGTTGCTGGAGGTAAGCAGCAAGGTTCGCTGCAGCTAGTTGATTGATTGTTGGTAGCAGTTGTTGCTGTAGCTGTTGTGTTGTGATGCTTTGCACAGATAGATGCGCCAAGGATGGTTGTTGCAATAGGGAATATGGTTGTTGAAGGTATTGTGGAATAGTGGCAGTGATAGGAGCTACTGAGCACTGTGGAATAAAAGTCGCGGTAGTAGCGCTTGCTGAAAGAGCAAGGAGGGCAACGAGGGCAAATATCTTGGCTGCCATTGTTGCTAAGATGTTGCTAGTGTATTTCACTTTGTATATTGCTAGTTGGTCTCGATAAAATGGGTGATGGATTAACTACTAATTTGGTGGCTATTTATACACATGGTAGGGCATGTATCTCGGCAAGATTTTTGCTTTAGCCAACAAAACTATTAGAATATAAGCTAGAGATGACATGGTATCTAGTCAGTTTTGACATTTAGTGACCACTTTTCTTGGCTTACACTTTACATGTTGGCAAAACAATAATTTGCACAAAATACAAGCAAAAAAGTGGCTTTCTTCTCATGGTGTTTTCTGAATACATGGGTGACAACGGTATGATCCATTCACCTTTACACATGTGCAACCCTTAGCCACATAATATATGAACCACTTGATTAAAGTCAGTTTGTGAAGTTGTCACCAGCTGATGTGGATCTCAATCATTTCCAACTAAATTTGTCTACAAGCTGAGATAAGATTTGTTCCATGAGTTGTTACTGAGACCTACCAAAAAAAAAATCCAAAGGTTCGACTAGTACCATAAAAGCATTCTGGATAGGGTTAAAAAATGGAATTTTTTTTTTGTAATTATTTTCTCCTAAGACCATGCACAATAGCACACAAATACACTAATTTAGACAATGTAAGTGGTGGTGGCTAAAGGGCAACTGCGATGGTTGGAGTAGGGATTGAGAACAAAAGAGCATTAACAAAGGAAAAGTCGTGGAGGAGTCCCTGTGGAATAAAATTTTGATTAAGATTTTTATTCAACTTACTCAAGATCGAAGAGATCTATTTGATTAGAATTCCTAGCTATTCAAGTTACCTCAAAAACCTATGTTCTAAGCCGTGCATATTGTCATGTAAAATAAGAGTGTTATAAAAGTTTTACATTCATGGAGTTAGTTAGGGGAGCGCCAGACAAAAAATGATGAAGAAATTTTGGCTTTTTAATATTAAGTATAGATATAGATTTATGAAAAAACAACACTAGAGTGGAGAAATGGCATGAGCTTAATGATAGAGCGTTATTGGTGGAGCCAACAATAAGATAAAACCAATAAGATCCATTGTTGGTTTTTGGATCCACTTGACTAAAGTTTAGTCTCTATCACATCGGACGTTCGGATGTTAATTACGAGGACTAAACATGAACTAATTATAAAACTAATTGCACATATAGAGACTAATTTGCGAGACGAATCTATTAAACCTAATTAATCCATTATTAGCATTTTTACTGTAGACCACATTGTCAAATTATAGACTAACTAGGCTTAATAGATTCATCTCGCAAATAAGTCTCCATCTGTGCAATTAATTTTGTAATTAGTCTATATTTAATACTTCAAAATTTGTGTCCAAACATCCGATATGACAGGGACTAAAAATTAGTCGTGGAACCAAACGAGCAAACGGGCGAAAAACTAGCCATGTCTAAAAAAACGAGAGGTATGGGTCCGAGATTTGCATTTCTTCGACTTAGCAATGCTGGCTCGCCAAGCTTGGCACCTCCGAGATTTGAATATAAATTCTGGCACATATACTTTGTGGCCAAGTTCTGAAAGCCAGGTATTTCCCAAATTCGAGCATCCTTGAATATAAATTCTGGGATGGAATTTCTTACACACGGAGGAGTATTATGCATGGTATTATCTGGAGGATTGGAAATGGTGCAAATGTCAAGATGTGGGCAGACCCCTGGATTCAAAGAGGGATTACTAGGAAGCCTATTACCCCACATGGTGCCGCTCTTATCACAAAGGTTTCTGAACTCATGGATCCTATAGTACTGGCTCCTGGTTTCTGGAGTTTTTTTGGCCTGAAGATGCTGAAGCAATCCTAATGATCTCGACTGACGAAGAACCGGAAGACTGGCCAGTATGGTGCTATGATCAAAATGGTCTCTTTTCAATGAAATCTGCGTACGCCCAAATTAGTTATCCAGTTACATCATGGAGCTAAGGGGAATGATGCCTCTTCATTATCCATGGCATACCAGGACACCAATGGTTTCAATTGGAACAGGCTATGGCAGTTAAAGTTCCAAACAAAATTAAAATGTTTTGGTGGCGCCCTGGCGCACAACAGCCTATAGTTTAGTCAAATGAACATTGCAAGAAGAGGGATATCCATTTAGATACTCGGTGCCCCTGTCTGCAGTAGGCTTGACGAGGATACCAGCCGTCTGTTTTTCAAAAGCAAGAAGGTGAAGGACTGTTGGAAGGAAATGAATATGGAGCATGTACGCCTAGTGCTGGAAATATGAAGAGCGGGCAACGAGGTGATTGAGGAAATTTCGAAATTGGAGGAAAAAATGTTCAAATAAAAATATTTGAGTTTATGTGGCAATAATGGTGGCCAGCTCAGAACAAGGTCAACGAAGGTGATAAGATGCCCAGTGGGGCTGAAATCTGTAGTTCTGTCACATATAATTGCTGGAGCGCCAATCTAAAACAAGCATGGAAGCCACCCCTAGATGATCTATATAAAATTAATATCGATGCTGCTTCCAATACAGAGACTAAGAAAGGCGGTTGGGGCTTCATTGTCAGGAAGTCATGGTGAGTTCTTGGAGGGAGGCGCCGGGAATATTGATCGAGGTGCTTGTCCTTTATAAGCTGAACCTTTAGTACTTCAGAGCCTGCAAAGGGTACGGTTGTCAAAATGGGCATGACAAAGGTGATGTTGGAGACAGATGCGTCGGTTCTTGGGCGTTCACTTCAATCGAAGGAGTTGGATCAGGGTCCATATGGCGCTTTATTTATGGAGAATCGTGAACTGATATACCTAGAGTTTAGTCAAATGTAAAATCTCTATATGTTCTAGAATCTATAACAGGGCAGCTGACTGCCTGCCTCGATACTTCTGGTGAATGTGCTTTATCCCCTGGCTCCCTTGTTTTCCTGAGCCAGGCACCAGATTTTGTGTCTATACTGATATCCGGTGAGAAACCGGATCCTGTTTGTTATTGGAAATTTATTTTAATTTTTAGATAAAAAAGAACTCATGAACGTCTATCAAGACTTATTTAGGGGAACGCATTGGTTGTGGTTTTGGGGCTAGTTGCAGCTAAGTGAAGAAAAGAAAGAATGTATCTACAAGGCTTATCAGACCTTGGAGACATTGGCTTTAGCATTTTTTCCTCTTATGGATGGCCCATTATGTCTAGGATTGCGAACTGATTTTCTGTCTTTTTGTGAGTCTGCTTTAAACATAAGTGTGAGAGCTTCTTTATAATAATATGGTCTGATTCCTCACTTATGAGCGGGGATGAAGCCGGATATTTATTACATTATTTAAAAAAATGTCTATCAGGACAGGCCATGGGCCAGTAAGAATATAGCTAAGTAGCTTTGGACTTGGGCCTGCGTGTCTACATCTTGTTCTGTTGAGCCCATGTATGTTTTATATATCTTAGGCATGTTTGGAAGCCCGATAATCTACTCAAAACCCTGTAAATTACAGGCCACAATTCTTTTCCAGCCTAAAATGGAAATCGCTGCTTGGAAGACCGGTGAGCCCACTAAAATTAAATCTGCTTTGGGCTAAAACTATCGAAAAAGAATAAACATGTGTGAAGGCCTGGAAAAAAAAAGAGAAACGTCGGGCTCCTCCAGCGATCAGCGCCTCTCGCACGTCCGTCTTGGCGGCGGCGGCGGCGATTGCAACCCCGATTCTCCGAGCACCATCACTGCGATGGCGCCCAGCTCCGCGTCCTTCTGCAGCAGCGCTGTGGCCGACATGCTCACGAAGGCGCCAGCCGGGGAGAGCGCGCCGGCCATGCTGAGCGGCGGCGGAAGCAGCGGGTTGGCGGTGGTGTCAACGTCATCGGACATGGTGGGGAACATCCACAGCTACGGGCTCTTGGTGTAAAGGGTAAAGTCGTCGGTGTCATCCTTGCCGGCTTTGAGGTCGTCGCCCTGGGACGATGGCAGCGCGCGAGGTGGTAAGCTTGCCCCTGGAGGTCAGAGGCCACCGTCGCCATGTTTATGGGTTTGGATAGCCTATTCGATTGGCTGCTTCGTTTCGTCGCTGTTTTGTGAGGAAGTACTGCTGACTGGTTTGTGTGAGAGAAAAATACTGTTCTGGTTAGAAATTTACGATCGTTTACGACAAGCCACGGCCAAACGAACAGGCTGAGTAGCTAGCTGTTCTCCTGTATGCGTCACGAAGTTGTCTCGCCTCCCGAACAAGAAGCTTTACCCTTAAAAGAGATACCACTGTATCCTCGTGCACAACCAATTACAGCCAGGTCCGGACAAAATACTCGTGGCTCGCCAAATTGCTCTCGTGGCCGGCTCAGCTCGACTCGACTCGGCTCGTTTTAACTTTTTCACGAGTTAAACTGGAAGTCTACCTCGATATTTTAACGAGCCAGCTCGCGAGCGGCTCACGAGCTTAAACAAGCTGAGCCCTATCAGACCACGACTATGAATCCAGAAGACGATGATGCTGATCTATAAGTGTACACCTATTCTATTGTTATGTAATCCTTATTTTCAACTGTTTCATATGAATTTTAATTTTATAATGGTTGTGGTACTTAAATGTTGATTTTATGGATTGTTTTCCAGGAAGAAGATGATGATGCTGACATTGAATCTGTGGACTTTCCTAAGTTTGTGGTGGCAAACAACTAATTAGTATGCTGGAACTGTATGATTATGGATTGACCAACTATGTTGCATGATTGATACTTTTGATGAACCTGATATGTATTAATTTTGTATGGTTGCATAATGGTGGACGTTACCTTCTGAAATTAATAGAGCATAAACATTATAAACATGTGTGTCCTATTTTTTTTAGCTCGCGAGCTAAACGAGCCCGCTCGAACTCGGTAACGAGCCGAGCCCAGCTACCCCTCTAACTCGTAATACTAACGAGCCAGCTCGAGCTGGACCAAGCCGAGCCGAGCTGGCTCAATATCTGGCCCTAATTACAGAGATAATATTACAAGTGAAAAACAGTACAATGCTTCCAAACATAGCCTTACGGAGACCTGGTGGTCAAGCATCAAGGACTAACAGATCAAACATTTATTGTTGTAGTCTTATTGTGCAAGGAAGAGATCGAATAGTATCAGACCAAATGCTCGGAGCAATTAGTTGCAGTGATCTTCCTTTTTTCCTCCTCCCATTTATGGTTTTTTCGCTAGTACTTCTGGTGGTGTGTTTATTTAGTTTCCTCCAGTTTATTTCTTTTGGTAGTCTTCAGAGTAGAGGGGTTGGCCCGGGTGCCAAAGTGGCAGCTGCTAAGATCGAAAAAATCATCTAGGGTTAGGTCTAGCGGGTTCTCTTTACTGTGAATGCGATATCGAGAGTAGAGAGACAGAGAGGAATAGAAGAAGAGCGTGTGGAACCTGACCCGCAGAGGGAGATGGTTCAGAAGCCGCCATCTCGTTCGTCGGTGAAATCTGCGCATGGGCAGCGACGTTCGGGGAAGAGGTCAATGAAGTCGTCGACGTCGGTGGAGCGGGGCGGCGCGGCTGGTGGCTTCCCGTCACTGGTTGTGTCCCTCTCTGATCGGGATTAGGGTTTAGGTTTCGATGGGGAGCTCGGCTCACGGTAAACCTCGTACTCAGAGCCACCGGCCCCCACCTCTATATATAGCGCTGTGTAACAGGGGCCCTCTAGCCATAGTGGGCTAGGCACCCCTGATCAGGGCGCGGATCAAAGGCCTAACTGGGGCGTTGGGCCCAGTTTGAGATTAGAGATTAATCTAACAATCTCCCCCTTGATCTCCTACCATCTTTCAATTTCATATCATTTACTTTTGTTTATTTCGTTACAGATTAGCGCATAGAGCATGTTTCATCGTCACGGTTAATTACCAATAGATTTAACAACTACAACACACCACTCTGTTCTGAAATAGATACTTAACTATAGGCCTTCTTTTGTCCAGGAATTATAGGTTTTCCCTTAAACCCATGCCGACTACATGTTCTCTGAACACGTTGGGTGGTAAGTCTTTTGTAAGTGGATCCGTGGGCATCTTTTCGGTACTTATATGCTCAAGACTTATGACATGATCCCGGACTTTATCTTTCACAACATAATACTTTATGTCAATGTGTTTGGCAGCACCACTTGACTTATTGTTGTGAGCATACTATACTGCCGGATTATTATCGCAGTATAACTTAAGTGGTCTATAGATGTCGTCAACCACCTTCAAACCGGGTATGAACTTCTTTAGCCAGTTCACCTACCCCGTTGCCTCATAACACGCTACAAACTCTGCATACATTGTGGACGATGTAGTGACGGTTTGCTTTGAGCTTTTCTATGAAATAGCTCCCCCTGCGAGAGTGAATACATATCCAGACGTGGATTTTCTAACATCTCCTGCATAATCAGAATCTGAATATCCCACTATATGGAGTGAATCTGATCTTCTATACGTCGTCATGAGGCTTTTCGTTCCTTGCAAATAACGCAAGACTTTCTTTACTAATTTCTAGTGTTCTGTTCTAGGATTGCTCTAGAATCTGCCAAGTAACCTGGTAACAAGTGCCAAGTCAGGGCGCGTACATACTTGAGCATATTGCAAGCTTCCGACATCTGAAGCATATGGAACCGTTTTCATTTGATCGATCTCATACTGATTCCTAGGGCATTGAAAATCCCCATATATGTCGCCCTTGACTATAGGAGCAGATGAGGGACTACATTTGTGCATATTAAATTTCTTTAAGATCTTTTCTATGTATGTATTTTGTGACAGCCCTAGTACCCCTTTACTTCTATCTCGGTGAATCTCGATCCCTAAAACGAACGAAGCTTCACCAAGATCTTTTATATCAAATTTTGAGAACAAAAACTTCTTTGTCTCCAGTAGTAGACTGACATCACTACTAGCATGTAAGATATCATCCACAAACAGGACAAGGAAGATAAACTTTCCATTCTTAAACTTTGCATAGACACAATTGTCCTCTACATTCTCTTTAAACCCAAAATTCCTTATTGTCTGATCAAACTTCAAGTATTACTGTCTTGAAGCTTGTTTTAATCGATAAATGAATTTCTTTAGGTGGCATCCCATTCGTTCTTTTTCTTCCATGACAAAACCTTTCGGTTGTGCCATGTAAACATTTTCCTCCAAGTCCCCGTTGAGAAATGTCGTATTTACATCCATCTGATGTAATTCTAAATCGTAATGTGCCACTAATGCCATTATGATTCTGAAGGAATCCTTACATGAGACTAGAGAAAAGGTCTCATTGTACAATCCCTTCTCTTTGCGTAAAGCCTTTTGTCACAAGTCGCGCTTTAAATCTCTCTATATTCTCTTGAGAGTCAAGTTTTGTTTTGTAGACCCATTTATAGCCTACTGTTTTGACTCCTTTAGGAATTATTTCCAAGTCCCAAACTTTATTGACATTCATAGATTTTATTTCATCTTCCATGGCCTCAAGCCATTTTGATGAATGATCACTTCTCGTGGCTTCTTCAAATGAGGTGGGATCATCCTCCATTTGAAATTCCTCAGTGTTGTATACTTCATAGTCAGCAGGAATTGCTGATTTTCTAATTCTTTGAGTCCTTCTAGGGGCCTCCACATTTGGCACATCTTCTGTTTGAGGCTGTTGTTGTTTCCCCTCATGTGTGGCAATAGGTTCTATAGGATCCTGAAGAAGAGGTTCCTCATCGTCATTCATTGTTGCCACAGGCGGAAAAACAACAGATGCTGGCACCACAGTATCTTGCACAGTCGGTGCAGCGACAGCAGGTAGTGAGAAAAATGGCTCATGAATCATCGGAGTGGGCGCATACACCCGCTTCTCTTCAAGGTCAATTTCTCGAGCTACCATGCTCCCCCTCATCATTTCATCCTCTAGGAAGACATCGTGTCTCATTTTTACAAACTTTGTATATCTGTCTGGACAGTAGAAACGAAAACCTTTTGACTTTTTTGGGTAGCCAATGAAATAGCAACTTACTGTTTTGGGATTTAGCTTCCCAATGTTTAGGTTAAATACTTTAGCCTCAGCAGGACTCCCCCACACACGTAAGTGGTTTAGTGAGGGTACTCTTCCTGTCCACAACTCATACGGTGTTTTGGGCATAGACTTACTTGGTACTCTATTGAGAATATGAATGGCGGTTTCTAACGTCTCCATCCACAGGTGCAACGGTAAGGTGGAGTAACTTATCATACTGCGCACCATATCCATCAGGGTACGATTGCGTCTTTTAGCTACTCCATTCTGCTGAGGTTCGCCCGGTGTAGAATACTGGGCTACTATGTCATTCTCCTGTAAGAACCTTGCAAAAGGTCTAGGAACTTAGCCATATGTGGTACGCCGACCGTAGTACTCCCCCCACGGTCGGACCTAACTATCTTAATCTTTAAATTGTGTTGGTTTTCAATTTCTGCCTTAAATATCTTAAATTATACAATGCTTCTGTTCTTTCTTTGATTGGATAAATCATAACGGGAGTAATCATCTGTGAATGTTATGAACGAATCATAACCATCCACACTCTTTACAGGAAATAGACCACAGATGTCTGTGTGAATAATCTATAAAATTCATGTGCTTCGTTTGGTATCTTTCTTAATTTTCTTTACATACTTTCCTTTTATGCATTCTCTGCATTGTTCTAAATCTGAGAACTCTAATGGAGGAAGAATATCATTCTTAACTAGTCTTTCTACTCTCCCCCTCGAAATATAGCCTAAACGACAGTGCCATAATTTCGACGACGCATCGTGAGCTCTCTTTCGTTTTCTGTTTACATCCGTAGACGAGGATACATTCTCATTATCGCACGCAACGTTCCCATCAGCGCATACAACATTCACATCATCACGTAGTGATAACAAATAAAGCTCATTTTGTAAGATAGCAAGACCAACACATGCATTATTAAATGTTATCTTACATTTGCCATTTCCAAAATGGCAATCATATCCATCATTGTCCAAGCATGAAACACTAATCAAGTTTCTCTGTAAAGAGGGAACATAAAGTACATCTCTAAGGAAAAGTGTGAAGCCATCAGCAAGCTCTAGAGAAAGATCGCCAACGGCTTCAACATCTGTTCGAACTCCATTTGTAACTTTAACGTGTCTTTCTCTTCTTTGTGTAGTCCTCGTCGAACGGAATCCCTGTAAGGAATTAGTAACATGAACAGTTGCACCTGAGTTAATCCACCAAGTAGATTTCGAATATTGTACATACAAGGATTCATTTATGAACGTAATAATGTTCTCACCTTTCTTTGCCATGATCATCTTTAAGTAATCGGGACAATCTCTCTTATAATGTCCCATCTTCTTGCAATAGAGACACTGGTCTTTCTCTACTATGAACTTGTTCTGCTGAGGCTGATGCTGCATGGGACCCTTTCCCTTTGACTTTGAGGAGGAGTTAGCATTATTATTCTTTTTCTTGTTGTCTTTCACATAATTGATAGTGTCACCATTGGCAGCTTTCATTCTCTCCTCCTCTTGCACACACATAACCATGAGCCTCTCTAAGTTTCACTTCTCGGGCTGTATGTTATAGTTGACAACAAAAGTGTCAAATTCCTTTGGCAAGGAAGCAAAAATCAGATGGATAAGGAACTCTTCCTTGAGAGCCAGATCCATTGGTTTTAGCTTGGATGCCAAATTGCTCATCCTTAGTATGTGCTCTCTTATACCACCATTTCCAGAGTACCTCTCTGTCACCAGCTGCTTTATCCGCTGGGTAGCATATGTCTTTGAAAAGCCAGTGAACTGACTTTTTATTCTATCGAGGTACTCGGTGACCGTGTCACACTCTGGAATTGAGCTCACAATTGTAGGCTCAATCATGTTCTTTATCACAGCAAAATATTTCTTGTTGGCAGTGAGCCACTTCCTATGCTCAAGGTCATAGGACATCTTTTGGGATTCAAAATCCCTCTTTCTAGTTGTCCAAGCGGCATCAGCCTCGTTTGTCTCCCTCACCGGTGCCACAGGCTTAGTGGAACACGGTGAGGTGACTACACAGTCCACCTCAGCCAAGATGAAGGCCAGGTCAATCTTTTTCTTCCACTCCGTGTAGTTGTCACCTTTGAGAGTGGTGATCTCTTTGATACAACCCATCAAATTGTATCCGTCTGAAAACACAATTCATATAGAGTGAGAACATAAATAATAACAACAATTGCATGCCTTGATTCCAACGTTGGTCAAAATTAAAACATACAACTGTTTATATAGTAAATCTACATCACATTTGGGCAGAAATAAAATTAATGCATAAAATCATTAAAATTACGATATTGTTATTAACAACGTTGGTCAGAAAATAACAACATCATAATCATGTCAAAATCTCTTTTTCTCCAATTAAATATCACGTTGGTTCAAAATAACTGGAGAATAAACTATTTCTTTAGCAGCGGAAAAGTTTAAACTTAATTTGTGAATTTTACCCACAGGAAAAAAAACTCTTTTCTATTTTCTTTGAACCATGTATCCATTTTCCAGGAAATAAAACTTTTACTGAAAAAATGGCTTCATCCTTTACCGGCAATTCGGCCCAAACGTGAAACCGGCCCACGGCCCACGGCCGTGCGAGCCTTGTACCGCGCTCTCCCCCGGGCCCAAGCCGCAACCTGGGCCGGGGCCGGGAAAGCGGCCTCGCGTCCTCCTGCCTGGGCCGAAAGGCAGCCCAGTTCTCTGGTCGCCGTTGGATCAGATCCGACGGTCGCGCGGCGATCTCGGCATATCAAAACCGGCGCCGCGTCGCCCTCCCCGAAACCCTAGCTCACTCTTCACTCTATGCCTCTCTCTTCGCTCTCTCATGCCGAGCCAGTGTCAGCGGTGGCGGCCACGGTGGCCGTCGGCGCCGGTGAGGAAGACAGCCACCGGACCAAGTCCGGCTCCCCTTCCTCCTCTTCCTTTCTCTTCCCTTTCCCCTTCTCTTCCTCAGCGCCGCAGTCAGAGAGGACCACGACGCGACGGCAGCCTGTGGCGGCCGGAGCAAAAGAAGGTAGTGGCGCCGCTGCGGGGCCCCTCGCCGGTGCGCGCGCTCGCCCAAAGCTGAGCGCGTCGCCGTCAAGCGGCCTTGCGGTGGTGCCCTGAGCGCGCGCGGCGCAGTGGAACGCCGGCGAGCCGGTGCGGCTCGGGTGGATTCCACGCTATGGCGGGGTAACCTTCCCGCACAACGGCGGTGGCGACGGCGGCGAGAGAAACCCGGGTAGGTCCCCTCCCCGATTAGGGTTAGGGTTTCAATCCGAACCGGATCGAACCCTCTGTTACTCTTCGATTTCTTTTCAATTCTCTACCCCATACTAGATCTACACACTGACAACCCGGCTTTGGTACCATTGTTAAGATCGAAAAGATCATCTAGGGTTAGGTCTAGCGGGTTCTCTTTTACTGTGAATGCGATATCGAGAGTAGAGAGACAGAGAGGAATAGAAGAACAACGTGTCGAACCTGACACCGTAGAGAGAGATGGTCCAGAAGCCGCCATCTCGTTCGTCGGTGAAGTCTACGCACGGGCAGCGATGTTCGGGGAAGATGTCAATGAAGTCATTGACGTCGGTGGAGCGGGGTGGCGTGGCTAGTGGCTTTCCGTCACTGGCTACGCCCCTCTCTGATCGGGATTAGGGTTTAGGTTTCGGTGGGGAGCTCGGCTCACGGTAAACCTCGTACTTAGAGCCGTCGGCCCCCACCTTTATATATAGCGCAGTGTGACATGGGCCCTCCAGTCATAGTGGGCTGGACGCCCCCGATCAGGCCGCGGATCAAAGGCCCAACTAGGCCGTTGGGCCCAGTTTAAGATTAGAGATCAATGTAACAACAGGGAGCTTAGGCTCGTTTTTGTAAAACTGTAAATCCGTTTATTTTATTTTCCCTGGTCTAATAAAAATCTGCAAAAGCTTTTTGCCGCCTTTCAAAAAATACATTTCTTGTTGTACTTGTCTGCATCTAGAGATCCTCTTGCTCGGTTGCTTCTGCTTGTTCTTCCATCGAATCCCTGACCCCCAATTCCTTTCTTCTTGGACTGTGTTTAGTTGGCAAAATTTTTGACGAAATGATACTGTAGCACTTTTCGTTGTTATTTGTCAATTAGTGTCCAATCATAGTCTAATTAGGCTTAAAAGATTCGTCTCGTGAATTTCGTCTAAACTGTGTAATTAGTTTTATTTTTTATTTATATTTAATGCTTCATGCATGCGTCTAAAGATTCGATGTGACGGAGAATCTTAAAATTTTTTACAAAATGAAGTGCAACTAAACAGCACCTTGCCTACCCCCACTACTAGCCGGCTGCTCATCACAATGTAACTCTCAAAACTTTTTTTAGACTATTATTAAAACGAATTATATTGGTAGTGACTCCAACGACCTAAGCGTCGCGGTTTAAGTCGTTGCTGCTCAAAATTATTTTAATTCATTCAAACTTGTCATGCGAATAGCCGAAGACCCAGTCCGGTCCGGTCCTCCACTGTACTTCGATCAGGCACAGGCACTCCCCCAGACTTGTTAGAAAAACAGGACAGAGCCCAACTTGTGTTCCCGACGCATTTGCCATTTGGCAACCAGCGAAGCAAATCATATCCCCGGCCGGCCAGCACCACCATATCTAGCACAAGTAATTAATGCCCGCCCACGACACCAAGAAGCCAGCCCCGGTGGAGACATGGCGCCACTTCTCCGACTCCGAGCGTGCGCGTCGTGCCCGTGCCCCTACCTTCTCCCGCTGCTCACGCTGCTGCCCTGCTGCCTCGTGCGGCCGTGCAGTCCCATCCTCGGCAGCGGGCGGGCACTGCAGGTGGCCATACGTCGGATGCGACGATGCCGGGCGCGTCATGAACCTTACCATCACGAGCGCCAGCGTCAAGGGCCCTTTCCCAGACGCCGTTGGCGGCCTCTCGGCCCTGGCCTACCTCGACGTCTCCAACAACAACATTTCCTGCGCGTTCCCGGCCACGCTCTATCGCTGTGCTTCGCTTGAGCACCTGGACCTGTCGCAGAACAACTTCAGCAGTGAGCTGCCGTCAGACATCGGCCGCCGCCTGGCGGCGAATCTAAACAACTCTGTTGCTATACAGCAACGGATTCAGTGGCTCCATCCCAGCGGATCTCGGCGTGCTAACAAGCCTTCAGTACTTGGACCTCGGAGAAATCCCGTTCGACGCCGGCGAGCTGCCAGCCTCATTCAAGAACCTGTCCAAGCTAGCTGCTCTACCTTGGTGCGTCGCAGTGCAACCTCGTTGGAGACTTCCCGAGCCCTGTGTTTGAGATGTCGGAGTTGGAGGTACTGGACCTGTCATTGAACGCGTTGACGGGAAGCCCTTTCCCAGACGCTGTCGGCGGCCTCTCGGCCCTGACCTACCTCGACGTCTCCAACAACACCATCTCCGGCGCGTTCCCGACCACGCTGTATCGCTGCGCTTCACTCGACTACCTCGACCTGTCCTGCAACAACTTCAGTGGTGAAATAGTTGTTCATGAGTTCGCCGCAAAGAGCTTAAGATATATCGCCATTTGTGAGAATTATAACCCTACTGCAGGAAGCATCCCGGAAGCCGTTGGGCATTTGGAAAACCTTGCATGCCTGTACCTCTTCAACAACCACCTCTCTGGCGAGATACCGGCGAGCATCGGCCGAATACCCTCACTGTATGTATTGAACCTATCCAATAACAGGTTTAATGGCACCCTCCCGTCGGAACTTGGGAAGCATTCGGAGTTGGGTTTTGTCGTTGCTAATTATAACGAGCCTGGTGCTCCGATCGTTGATGGTGGCGTCCGTGGGCATCATTTTCGTTGAAGACATCGATACAAGCACACTTTCTTCCGTCCATGCTCGGCGTGTCCTTGTGCTCCGTGGTTGCTCCACACCTGCTCCCGTCCGCCCTCGGCGTGTCCTTGTGCTCTCCCTCTCCATCTTGTTATTGGTCTGACTATCCTCCTACCTTGGCTTTTGCGCACACTACTTGTTGTCAGGTGCTCGCCATCAACGGCTCTTGCCCTGTCGTCCTCTAGTTCATTTGAGTGTTTCGCCTCATCATATGCTGGGCTGCGGGGACCTTGATCCCTGCTTCTCTGGATCTCCTCATTCTCTCCGTGGCGGTCCTCCTCCTTTGAGAGGCTTCCTCCCCTTAAATGGAGTTGGTGGGCGTTGGTTGGAACCCTAGATGCGTTCATAGGGGATGCAACTCACGGTTGTCGCCAGTTTGTTCTGAGTCAATGCCTTACAGCTTCTTGGTTGTCGTCTGTCGGACCTGACTCGCTTACAATTGATTGTGAATTAGAGGTCTTCAGAGTTTGTCTTTGGTGGTGGCACAGGTCGGGAACGTGGTGCTCGCGTCGCATACTAGCTCTGGATGTAGGCTGAGCCTATAGCTGAACCATGTCGTTGTTGTTTGTTTTGTTTTGTTGGTGCTGTATTTCTTCTCTCTTTCTCTATGTCATGTACTTCCGTGACTTTCTAGGATCGTCCATGTCATGTAATAGGTGCTTTGCACCCTCCATTACCAGCTTGCCGGAATCTATGAAAAATATATTCAGGTGGAACCTCCCAACTCCCCAGGTGTTGACCTCAAAAAAAAAGTTAAGAGGAAGAATACTTGGAGCTGGATATGCATGATCAATGTTGTAGCTTATTCTACTCTCCACTATGCATTTGTAAATTGTTCATGAAATGAATGTGAAACTGAAGAAGAACCTCCAGGGTCCAGGCTCCAATGAATCACACAGCGGTTTCACAGAACCAACAGCCTGAAAGATGCCATTTGCAAATAGAGATGACGACGTACGCCCTCTGAAACAGATTTAATTAATATCTTGAACCTCAGTTTAAGTTGCTGGTTCCAACGGAAACTGCTAGAAGCAGCAACACGTTATGGTAGCTATATCATATAGCAAACAGAATTCACCAAGGACCCTTGGTACCCGACATCGGTCTGTTCTGGAATGAAGCCAACAACTTGAACCGGAAGGATATGGTTCAGAATCTTATCGACTACCTTGCCAACAGCTATGTTCCTGTCAAACAGCAACGAAAGTAGTTATTGGAGAAGGACCGAAATCAATTCGGTGTTGCCGTGCGTAAAAACCGACACGCGCCCTCTCAAGTTGGCGTCAGTCCTGCGATTCGAGTCGGAGAACCACTTGTTAAATTGCCACCTCAAGCAGCTGAGCAGCTCCTTCTTTCTGTCCACATGGTGATCAAAGTGTTGCTGTTGCTGCACCCACATCGAGGGTAATAAGTCAATCCAAGCCTCCTGCAGTCCTGCTGCCGTCAGGTGGATACAATCAAGCACACGAATCGACAAAGAAAAAGCAAAAAGGTTCAATCTTCTGGCAGTCCTCAGTGAACTTGTGCTACGCGCACACGCATAGGCTACCTGGAGATTGCCTTTGGCTGTTTTTTGGTGAATGTGCACATAAGTGTACCAAGGTGTTTGCATTTTATTGTTTCATGCACATGAAGCGTACAGGTGTTACCGCAAATTATTTCTTTATGGTTACTTGTTCAATATGCTTTCCATGAAGTATGATATTCCACTGTTGGATCGAGTCAAGGTTCACTCTATGACAAGTCAAGATGCAAGCTATTTTGGCGCAACATGATTCAATTGATACGCTTGACATAATTTTGAGAGCAAAGATTCCAAAATTTGGACCGTTGAGAGGAGAAAAGATCACGAGGCCTTATCTAAAATTTATCTTTATTTGTTAGATACTTCGTAATATTTTACACGAGGTTATGTAGAGAAAAGATCACGAGGCCTTCTCTCTTTTGCTTAATTCCAATGTCATGCCACTGTTTTGCTGAGTTGACATCCTAATTAATAAAGATAGAAACCATCTGGTTCCTAGGTTAGGAGTGTCATAAGTTTACAGCAAGCTGGTGCACAATAACCAAGAAATGTCTCTTATTTGTTTATATATCTTTTTTATTATTATTTTGACCCATGTTTTCACCTTCTCTTTCTTAATTACCCTCCATTCACTTAATATCTAGACCCACCACTACGTACGCTCGCATGGTGATGCTAGCATGAGAAACAAGTTCTCCTTTCTCCTTCCTTCTCTCCTCTACATCAGCAAAAGTATTTTAATTGCTCTAATGTGCCTGATATGAAAAGGGAAGCAACGGGTTGTCCTAGCATGCAACTACTTCGTCCATCCTAAAACATCTCCAAGAGTTCCTAAAAATTTCTTTCCAAAACTATAAAGTTGTCCAACTCGTCAAAAAGTATGGAGAGGAACAAATAAGACCATCTCCAACAGTTCCAATAATTCACTCCTAAAATATAGAAGACAATTTTACATTAGAAATCCTAAACTATTTCTAAATTATCGTAACCACTTTTATATATTCTTTCTCTCTTATTAATTATTTGTATCAGGAACCCTTTTCTACTTTTTACTCTTTCCCACGTCCTTCCACCTTAGATTGGCAGACCGATAAGCGCACCTTCCTCTCAGCGTGTATATCTGCGCTTTTGGTCCAAGTACCAAAAGATTGGGAGGTGGGATAGAGAATTCTCGGAGATAGGTTTTTTTCTATTCTTGCCAAAAATCCTAGAATTGGAGGCTTTATTAGAAACTCTTGGAGATGCTCAAGCAACGGGTTGTCCTAGCATGCAACTACTTCGTCCATCTTAAAATAAGTCTTCATATCATATTTCAATGAGTCAACCAATCATGATGTGGACTAAATTTATAGAAAACAATATCAAAATTTATATCTCCAAATAGGTTTATTATAAAATTATATGACATAATTAACTTAATGATATTTATCCAGTGTGACAAATATTACGTAGTATTTTTTATATGTATGTTTAAGTTGATATTATTTGACCTATCGAAATATATGATAAAGATTTATTTTGGGAATCAGGGAGCACTACTAGGGTGCAGTGTGCGCCAGCCTGGTGTTGTCCCCTACCCATGCAAGGGTGAAGGATGCAAGTGATCGACTCGAGTGGAGAGAGACACCGTGAGCGGTCGAGTTTGGCGCCCACCTACCTGGTGAGGCTTTTGTGCTGGCACGTACGGTACTGTGGCACCAGCCTCCACAATCCACACCTTTGTTTTTTTCCACCCCACTCATACTCCGAATAAAATAGTTAAATAGCATGTTTCAACCCCACGGCACTCAAGGACACACGTAGGAAGTGTTCATGGTTAATGGTGCGACGTGTCTATTTTAGTCTGATGTGATAAAAAATCCTAATTTACATAAAAAAGTTCACTTTTATTTTGGGTTAATAAACAATAATCCCCGGCCACCAGAAAACATGAAGGCCTTTGAATTTCCAAAAAAAAAAAGGGTGGAGACTATCCCCACCGGGCACTTATAGGCACACACCATGCATTAATGTCACGTGTCCGTGCATAATCATCCAACGCATAAGACTGTTGCATAAATTAAAGAGGAGTAGTTAGAAAGAAAAATCACAAGTCTTTCATGTATTGGATGATTATGCGTAGACAGGTGACATTAATCTATGATGGGTGCCTCAGGTGTCTGGTGAGGATAGTCCCTATCCAAAAAAAAATTCAAATTTCATGGATTCTTCCACCGGCACTATGAGTGCAAGTGGAAATAGCAGGGAATAGGGAGTAGTGGCTTTTGAATTTGGATGCCTGTTTTATTTATAGGATCCCTTTATTTATTTACTTTAGTGAGCCTCACATTTCAATGCTTCTATGTCTTAGCTAGGGATGAAAACGGTCGAGATATATCCTGTACCGTGCGGCATCATTTTCTACGTTTGACCCACTCGAATTCGTATTTTTGGAGTCAACATTAATTATATCAAACAAAAATAGTTGAAGTCTAGTGGCACTAAGTCTATCCATAAAAACTACTTAGTCTATATATATTATATCAACACAGGATGCATTAGCTAGCTTTCTGATTTAGTAGCACTAAGTGACAGTTGCGTCCTTTTGTAGATAGAGTGAGTATCTTAAGATCCTCTCAAAGAAAGAAGATTCATCTAGCCCTATCAACTATTACCTCCATCATTAGAACCATAGCCACGCCAAAGCCTCTCACTCGATTGATGCGCACAATTGAGCTCAACCTCTCAGCCATTCAAGTGGTTACTCTAACTTTCCTCACTAATGCATGGTAACCCCCACTAATGAATGGTAACCCTCCTAAGGTCATCGCGCATCATCTTTGCTAGTTTCATTGTTTTTTTCTTACAAGATAGAGAGGCATATCTCTTCTACCGTCTATCTCTTTTACACCCTTCTCTCTTTATTATCCTAGCTACACCACCCTTGAGGATGGTAGGAGGGGGTATTGTCATCAAAAGTTTCCTATACTACAAAAGTTTGTTTTTCAATCCCCTTTAGCTACATATGGGAGATTGAATATCCTCTATCTGATGGAGATGATTTTATTTTTGTTTGGATGTACTTGTATTCACATCAATCCGTCTGCGTTGGAGTACATTGAGGCCTTTGTTTGTATACCCATGTATCCATCTCAATCTATATGTGTTGGAGTGATTTTGTATACAATTTAAACTAAATTCCACACTTCAACACTTCAACACACAGATTGATGCCTTGTTTAGATGCCTAATATATTAGTATCCAAAAAAGCCCTAAGATGAAAATTAGTTACTTTTTCTCCCATTCACCGAATACACGTGAATTGAAGTGGTACATCTAAACAAGTGAGATGGGTTTAGTTGTTGAAAAATGCAGTTTGTGCACTTTTATTTTTATTTGTCAATTAGTGTTCATTCGAAGAAAACAAGAGAAAAAACGATTTCGTAAAGGCTGATTTAGAGACAAGACTTAGATAATTAGTTTTTTTTCGCTTTACACATTTAATGCCCACGCATCGTATCGCAAGATTCGATGTGATAGCCAGGTCGTAATAATCTTTTACGACGGCGCGCGCTTTTTTTAACTAAACGTGGCCTGAGATAGAATATGTTCGTAAAATGCATTTGTGCGCACGTACGTATGTATCATGTGATTCGAAGAAAACAAGAGAAAAAGGGATTTCGTAAAGGCTAATAGAGACAAGACTTAGATAAGACCTCTTCTTCCCTGTCCCTTTTTTCCTCACCTTCCTCCCCCTCCCTGCCTCCCAGCTACGGCGCCACCCTCGGGCCGTCGGCGGCCACGGCGCCACGACCCTGGTGTAGTCTGTTCCATACGTGGCGCCTGCAAAAGCCTCGCTGCTGCCAGCCATGGATGCAGTTGCCAGCGACGCCGTACTCCTCCTCCTTGCCGTCGCTATCTCCCTGCTCATCACTGCCACTGTCTGGAACAGGCGTGGTCGGGGGCACGACGACGATGGCGCGCCGAGCCCGCCGTCGCTACCGCTGCTCGGCCACCTCCACCTGCTCGGCAAGCCGCTACACCACTCGCTGGCCGCGCTCGCCGCCGCTCACGGCACCGGGCCCGGGGGCGCCCCGGCGCCGCTCCTGTCCCTGCGCCTGGGCGCGCGGCGCGCGCTGCTGGTGTCCGGGCACGCCGTGGCCGAGGAGTGCTTCACGGCACACGACGCCGCGCTGGCGGGCAGGCCGCGGCTGCTGGTCGGGGACAGGCTCAACTACGGGTACACCACGGTGGGGTGGTCCTCCCACGGCGACCACTGGCGCGCCCTCCGCCGGTTCCTCGCCGTCGAGCTCTTCACGGCGTCTCGCCTCGCCGCGCGCGCCGCCGACCGGCGCGCCGAGGTCGCCGCGCTCGTCGGCAGCCTGCTCCGTGACGCCGCCGCCGCCGCGGTGACGCTCCGGCCCAGGCTCTTCGAGCTGGTGCTGAACGTGATGCTGCGCGCGCTCACCGGCGCGCCGCCCGGGCACGGCGGTGACGTGCGCGGTCTCCAGGAGATCATAGAGGAGACCTTCGCGGTGACCGGCGTCATGAGCGTCGGGGACTACTACCCGGCGCTGCGGTGGGTCGACCGTCTGCGCGGGGTCGATGCGGCTCTGATCCATCTCCAGGCGAGACGCGACGCGTTCGTCGCCGGCCTCGTTCACGACAAACGCCAAAGGCGCAAAGCCGGTGGCCCAGACACGGAGAAGAAGAGCACCATTGACGAGCTCTTGTCACTGCAGGAAACTGATCCTGAGTACTACAATGACACTGTCATCAAAGGCATCGTCTCGGTGAGTAGTCTCTCCTTTTAATCAGCTATTGTGGCACCAACGCGGTTGCAATCTCAGTTCTCCTTCTCCATGATGATGGTTGATGCATCTGCAGGTACTGCTCAGTGCCGGCACGGACACATCGGCGCTGACCATTGAGTGGGCAATGGCGCTGCTGCTGACGCACCCGGAAGCGATGCTGAAGGCGAGAGCTGAGATCGACGCCAACGTCGGCAGATCCCGGCTGGTGGAGGAGTCGGATATGACGAACCTCCCATATCTGCAATGTGTGGTCAAGGAGACCCTCCGGCTCTGTCCTGTAGGGCCAGTCATCCCAGCACACGAGGCCATGGAAGACTGCACCGTCGGTGGGTTCCATGTCCGGCGGTGAAATTTTTGTATTTGGTCTCTTTTCAAAACAATTTTTAGAAAAATTTAGGTGATTAACGCAAAAATATTTTTGAAAATAGATGCGGAGACAATTAAGTTTTAATGGAGATCGATTGGGCAATTGAGCACATGCCTCTAGATGATGAAGATCGTTTCGGGTTGAGGATGGCTCAAGGTTAAGGATAACTAGTTCTAAGTGTCACTCAACGAGAGACACTTAGAGGTATTGCCACGTCATGACGACGGGGGGTCGCCGGGTAGCTTGACCTAGTTGAGTCTAGTGAGTTAGGTGTGTGTGGTGCATACTTGTTAAAAACTAGCTCTAGGTAGATCCTATGAATGCCTGAGGAGCTAACTTCATTCACACCTGATCGAGAGTTGGAAGTGAATGGAGGGTCGCCGAGCTAATGGACCCACCCGAGCGGCCCAACAAAGCACGGTGGCTCGTTATTTAAGCTTCGGCGTTGGGTCACTTAACGCCGAGCCTCCGGACCTCGGCGTGGCCCGACTCAACGCGTCGAGGTCTGGTCCTTTAGGCCGGGCCGAGGCCCCTTCTTCTTCCTTCCTCCATTTTGAAACCGCCATGGCCTCCCTCTCTCTCTCTTTTCGTTTCGCGCCACCAAACCCTAGGCTCCAAAATTCAACCCCGGTGCCACGATCTTGTGTCTTGAAAGCTTCCTCGAGGTAATAGTCCTCCCCTCCTCCATTCTAGCGTCCCGCGTAGATGTGCTTATATTGTCCCTAATCATGTGGAATCATGGTTGTATGGTGTTTTGGTATATTTGTGTTTGCATTTGAGAAAAATGTATGAGCTTAGGATGATTGAGGTGCATTGTTGTTTGTGATTTTTTATGTGATGAACATCATTAGGTTAGTTAGTTTGGTTTCTAGTTATTTTGGTCATTAGGGTTCTTTGTTTATTGTAGGTGTCATTAGTCAAGGTTAGTTATTTGTTGGTCATTAGGGTTACTATGTATTTTATTTATTTGTTGGTCATTACATTTCAATTTGTTATGACTAGAAATGATTATGTTGTTGGGGTTGATTCAAAAGATGAAATGATATATTTTAGTTTCTACTTATTGGATTGATCCTTTCATGATATATTGATATGTGACACTACTTGTTGTGTGATGACTCTCGATAGATGGATAAATTAGTGAGGTTGCATCATGGAGCACTTACTTTGAGTATTGTTAGGACAAGAGATGATAGTTTAGAATTTTGGAACATGTGTGAGGTTGAGCATTGTTGATATTTTAAAACACCATCAAGGGGTTAATTGGGACCCAGGATTTGATTGGAGCAAGAAAGGTTAGAATTAGCCCAATTGGAATGGGCATCTTGATCCTTTCAACGTGCATGTTCGGTTTGAAGGTGTCATAGATGTTGGGGTCATCGAAGGGTCCTCGGATCAAGCGGTTGCTCAAAATTATGTTTAAACTGAATGGAATGATTACAAGGTAGTTGTATTGGCCTCGGATGTGCGAGCATCGAAGCATTCAAGCATTGCAGGCCCATCGTCTCAATTGATTGGGACCTTTCTTCTGAGGAAATTTGAAGGCACAATGCTTATTTGTGTTGGGGACAGATGCGAAGACCAGCTTGTGCCATTGGCCTTTGCGATTGTTCGGAAGGAGGACACGGATAGTTGGTGTTGGTTTCTCGGGCTAGTAAGACAAGTGGTAATTGATCAGGGGACGTGATGTTTGTGTGATATCCGATAGGCATCTTTGGCATTCGAATGTCATAGAACAAGAGATTCTCAGCTACTGACCAAATACATCACCGGTGGTGCACCGGACACCTTGCTTCGTAATCTTATAAGGCGTGATCACACAAAGGACAACTTCAAATTATTTGAAGAGATTTGCAGGCGACAAGAGGTTCAATTATTCAAAGACAAGTTAGATGCCCGAAGTTAGCCACAAATATTGATGGCGGGCAATTCTTGAGCGAGTTGATGGCGTCGAAGGATAAGTGGTCACTTGCATATGACACGGTGGTTGGAGATGGGGCTTTATGACTAGTAACATGGCGAGAGATATTCAATGACCTTCTAAGAGGTTGTCGTGGTGCCTGTGGATCGCTATTGCCTCATTCACCTTCTACAAGTTGAATTCTTGGTTCGTTTTGAGGAAGAAGCATGCGAGGTCTCTATGGACAAAGAGCAAAGCTTGGCCACTTTTAGCATCGTGAACTAGCTTTCTCAAAGAAAAGTCTAAACGATGAAGGGTTCATGTTTCGATCCGATCAACCATGGATATGAGATTCTAGAGGGTGGTGGAACTAACATTGGTGGTGAAGACCGGGGTGCTCGAAAACATAAAGTAGTGATCAATGAGAACAAGTGTACGTGTGGAAAACCGATCATATACCATAGGCCTTGCTCCCACATGATTACAGCCTATCGCCTTAGACGTGTTGACGCTGAGGTCCCTCCCCGTATGGCCGCAGAGTTCTCTTTGAGGAACCTGATGAGCACCTAGAATCCTCAGTTCGAGCCATTTCTTGACGAGAGTCAATGGCCTACTTATGATGGCCCCAAGTATGTGGCTGATCTTGGTTTACTCTAGAAGAGTAGAGGACCTAGGCGGCGGAAGCGGTTCAGGATGGACATGGACTGAGCCACGAAAGGTAGATCAACCACGAGTAAGGTTGGGAGACATTTTGTAGAGGACACCCAAAAGAGCCGTTGCTCTGGTTGCCATAAGCCAGGCCACAATAAGAGAAAATGTCCTGAACTACTTAGACAACAGGTATCCACCAATCTAGCTACTAGAATTGCTTTGTGTAATAGTACATTGGTTTACTTTTGTTTTTTTTTATTTTTATGTTACTTCGTACCACATACACATGCTTTAACTTATACTAATGCTTTGGCATTGCTTATGTTGCAGGATGGATCGGTTCCCCCTTCTTGATCCAAGGTTCGATGAGCACCACCGGGCTCGGAGGATTGAGAACGAAGAGGTATATTCAACAATTCGTATGAAATATTGCATTGTTCATGTTTTGCTCTATAGTCCATGCTCTTTATAAAGTGACATGAACTAATACTTTTTCATGCTTGTGTTTTTTTTTGCAGGTGTTTTGAATGTCTTTGAGGCCAATGACACATGAGGCCTCTCACGACCATGGTCTACTGACGAGAGGTACACGCCCTCCCAAGTCGGGCGAACCTTGCTACCATTGCTCGTGTTTGTCGTCAAGGCACGCCACCTTTCAACCCAGCGGCACTGACGGCATTGATAGATCGGTGGCATCCAGAGACACACAGCTTTCACCTACCATGCGGGGAGATGACGGTCACTCTCGAGGACGTTGCCATGATCCTTGGAGTCAAAATCCGAGGATTCCCAGTGACAGGAGACACGGAGTCCGAAGGATGGCAGCAGCGGGTTGAGCACTTCTTGGGACGGCCCCTAGCGGCAGTTGAGGCTGGCAAGAAACGGCGCAGCAGTGGGGTGTCCCTGAGGTGGCTTCGTCAGCAGTTTCGGGAGTGCCCACCCAACGTAGACGCCGAGACCATGACATACTACTGTCGGGCCTACGTCCTCCACATGTTTGGTACGGTTCTCTTCCCTAACGGCACTGGAGACACGGCGTCCTAGATGTACATCCCGTGCCTTTTGAACTGGGAGGATGCCGGCAATAGGAGTTGGGGCTCGGCTATACTTGCCTTCCTGTACCGTCAGCTTTGCGAGGCTTGCCATCGTCCTGGAGGCGCGCACGCTACAATGTCAGGGTGCATCACACTGTTGCAGGTAATAAAGCAAAGTTGTACAAGTTTCCACTACAATTTAATGTTTTTTCTTAACAAAAGTGATTAACATTCATGTTTCCATTCTTTTTTTTGCAGATTTGGATGTGGGAGAGGCTTCCAGTTGGGAGACCGCATCAGCTTGATCCCCCACAACCTTGGTTTCCTCAAGGAGACGCAGTTGTCGCCCCTACCGTGGCACACTTCTATGAGCGAGCCCACGGAACATACCACGTGTCACGCCACGCGTACATCAGCTTCACCAACGAGCTGGACACCCTTTTGCCACAGCATGTAAGTTTCCCACCCTTTTGGCCTAATCGAGGATATGTGCACAAATTGAGCGTCGACTAGTTGATGACGACGTTGTGTACAGGTTCAATGGCGCCCATATCGGCGGAGGCAAGTCACGGATCTCAACTTGAGCGCCTTGTGCATGGCAGACGAGGATGTCTGGACGATGAGGACCCCCCTTATTTGTTTCTATGCAGTGGAGTATCATCTCCCTCACCGTGTAGCATGGCAGTTTGGTAGGCTGCAGCCTTCTCCGCCCGATGATTTCTCCACCAGTTGGCAGCTCCACAAGTACGTAACATGTAATATTTTGTTCGTTTCACATGAATGAATCATTGAGTAGGCCTTCATATTGCCGATTTGGTGTAAAATTTGCAGGTTCAACAGACAAAAAAATAAGAAGATCACTAACCTGGCAATTTGGAGCACCGGCGCTACATTGATGAGTGGATGTTGATGGAGCGGAACAACATGGGCATCCACGCCGGCCCATCGTGACAAGGCATTCGATGATTACCTTGTTTGGTTTGGTCAGCGAACAAGGCATCAATTGAGGCCCGCTTGGACGGAGCAAGACATTGCCGACATTGAAGCGAGGATGAGGGCAACAACCCATATGACCAAGCTACCCGAGAAGCGGGCAAGTTGAGATAGCCCTACGTTAGCCGTAGAAATGTAAGTGATACAACTATTTCCATCTCGAGGTCTTTACTTGTGATGGAGACTTAAATTCTTGTTTTTGTTGCATAGAGCACGGAGATAATGAGGACGGTGGTACGAGCAAGGAAGGGCATTGATGATTCCTATGGGCGATCCCGATGAGGCCTCCATGTTCTACTGACAAGCACATTCAGGTAGTCTCCTCTCAATAAGTTGATGTTACATCTTTATATAGTTTTGCGACCAACCCCACTTACTAATAGTGCTTTCAAAATGCAGCGTGCCATGCATCGCCTCCGAAAGGTAGCTGCACGCCTTGGATGTAGACGTTCCTCGGATGTGGCGGCCCCACAATGACTTGGTCTTTGGACCTTCAACGCACATGTTGGAGGGACTTCATCTTCACATGGTGCACATGGTGGCAGGACTTCTTCTTCACATGGTGCAACAACTAGTGCAGAGGGTGGTCAAGGACATGGTCATTATGATGATGAAGATGATGAAGGACAGGGAGAGTACTATGATCATGAGTATGATGAGATTGGCATGTCCTAGCTTGGAGATGCACCCAAGGAACTCAAGGCCCCTCCGATTACGGACGCCCACAGAGGACGCTCGAGACCGGTGGATGTGTACACTCTGTGTACCTATCCGTTTGGGAGGGGAAAGCGTTACGCTTTCGCCATCCACGTTATGGTACAAGGAGCGATAAAAGATCCAAAGACTTCATATGCTATATTTTGTGCATGGACTATGTATGCATTGGACCTTGTACTATGTTTGGACTATGTACATTGATTGATGAAGCATATGTATGGACTATGTTGGATGTTGAATGTGTTGGACTATGTTGGATGTTGAATGTGTTGGACTTTATGTATGTACGGATGTTGAATGAATGTGTATGTCGGTGTGGTCATGTGTTATGTGAATGTGTGGAACGCCGCCATGTTTCATGTTTCCGGCTATTAAGAGAGGGCCTCGTCGCAACTCACAAGGAAGAAGGGTGTCATCATCCCCATCCTCCATGTTACGATCAACCTCTGTTGGATCCACGGTGACATGGCAAACATGCAAAGGGATGAAGCGGCTTAGGAGAGTCGGGAGCTAGCGAGCTCAGTCCGTTGTTGGCACAAGGTCATCGTCGGCTGATTAGAGTAGTGGGCAATAGTGAAGCATCAAAGAAGAGATGATATATTTTGGTGAACCCAGGAGCTCGACGTTTAGTCATTTCACGCCGACCCCTGGTACATACTGGAAACCCTTGCATCGAAGCGCCGAGGTGCCCAAGCTCGGTGTTTAGTCATTTGACGCCGACCCCTGGTACATACTAGAAACCCTTGCATCGAAGCGCCGAGGTGCGCAAGCTCGGCGTTTGGTAAATTGACGCCGAGCCATTAACCTCGGCGTGGGATGACTAAGCGTCGAGGTTCAGCCCAAACCTAGCCACGGCCGTTGCCAAACCCTAGGGTTGGCGTGGGCCGACTCGACGCCGAGCCTCAGCCCAACTCGCAAACGGCCGAGCCAAACCCTAGGGTCGGCGTGGGCCGACTCAACGCCGAGCCTCAGCCATTTTGGTATATGTTGCAATCCTATTTGCATGATTCAAATGAAAAATCTTTCTCAACGATTCATCTTCGACTAACACGAGTTATACTAAGAGTAGACATGCTATATTTATGTTTGTATGTTTGTTCCTGCAGGAAAAACCGAATGTTGGTTCGATTTCAATCCCCTATTTTTAGAGAGACTCAAATCTTTTTTTCAGTTTGGGAATCAACCATAGTACATGAAACTTAGAGGTAGGTAAACTGCAATTTATGAAATAGCGAATGCACAACGATTACACTCACATCAAAACTAACAATGGCATGTCGCAAACTAAACCTAGCATGCCTTAGGGGATTGAAAGAAACAAGTAATACAGACATTGCAAAGGGTACACACTCATATAAAAACTAACAATGGCATGTTGCAAACTAAACCTAGCATGCCTTACGAGATTGAAAAGAACAACTCATACAAGCATTTCACATTCGAATTGACTAACAAAGGTTGGTCCTAATAATGCTCCCACATATTGAACCGAGTTGCGCATTCCCCATAGTATCCTCTAGTTGACGGAGGCGGTGGTGGTGGCGGTGGCGGTGGAGAAGGAGGCCCATCCTTCTTATGGTACGGGCACTCGCAGTACGGATTATTGCATAGTGCCTCATCTGCATCATTGCTGTTGTCGTCGTCCGACTTGTCCTTGTTACCACTTCCAGGGCCATACTCTAGGTCAAAGATGTGTCCCTGTAGATATGTGATGTACTGTTGATGGGGATAGATAGGAGGAGGGTCCACCCATCTAGTGAAGCCACAGTTATCTGGACAGCTTGAATCCTGAAAACCCATCTACCAATAAGTACTACTAGAAATCAAATGCAAATCTAAAAAAGGAGAGAGTTCAAAGGTAATACAAATCCTCGCGGACATCTGAAGAAACGACGGCCTCCACCGTCACAGTCGTTGTACATCTGCACAACACAATCCAAACCGTGGCCGCATTTTGGCCAATCTTCAATGCGCTTCTCGTATGATCTAAGAGGTCTCTCATGGGTGAAGTCACTCTTCCTCTCCAAAGGAAATTCCTCTATTGGTTCTTCAAAAGAATCAGGACCCAGAGAACCCTCCCACACAATCGGAGGTCCCTTCCTCACCCCCTTTCATCTCCCTCCGTCGAAACCCTTTCCACTCGAGGAACCTCCGCTCGACATTTGGTAAAACTAAACCAGAAAACAAGTTGTGTGGATGTGGAGCAAGACATGGAGCACTATATATAGATATGAAGGCAGGTTTACCATGAATGCTACCTGACAAAAAAACATGTGTGCGTACTCATTTATTGAATCTGCAAAGGTTAGATGCTTCATCTGAAAAGCCTACAACCATGACTGGTCATTTCATCTGAAAAGGCTACACCTGTGTTTTGTCACTTATTCTAAATGCAGTACATCACTCTGATATTAATTCATTGCGTATACGGATACAATAGTAAACGAATCTAGGCTTTTCAGTGAGTTTTCTAATAGACTTGTAGCCCTTTCAGTGACTGCAACAGTACTTGTAGCCCTTTCAGTACTTGCAACAGTACTGCGTGGGGGAATGAAGGAGGGGAGGGAAGAAGAAGAAGAAGGGGGCCTCGGCCTAAAGGGACCAGACCTCGGCGTTGAGTCTGGCCACGCCGAGGTCTGGAGGCTCGGCGTTAAGTGACCCAACGCCGAGATTCTGGGCCACCGTGCTTTGTTGAGCCGCTCCGGGTGGGTCCATTAGCTCGGCGCGCAGTCCAGCCGTGCCGAGGTTGGGCACTTGGCGTCGGCTGACACGACGCCGACATCTCGGACCCACGCGCCACCGTGTCGACGACGACCCCGGTCGTCCGTGACGTGGCAATACCTCGGCGTTGAGTGACACGACGCCGAGCCTCATATCTAGGCGTCATGTGCTAAGACGCCTAAAAATGGTCTATTTTCAGAAAATATTTTCGCGTAAGTATTTTTCTAAAAATTATTTTCAAAAGAGACCAAAATACAAAAATTTCACTGTCCGGCGCGGCACCATGATCCTCGTGAACGCTTGGGTGATCCATCGGGATCCCAAATTGTGGGAGGCGCCAGAGGAGTTCAGGCCGGAGCGGTTCTTGGACACTGCCATGGTGACGGTCACCGCCCCCTTGCTGCCGTTCGGGCTTGGACGGAGGCGCTGCCCTGGGGAGGGGATGGCAATTCGTCTCATGGGCTTGACACTGGCAGCGCTCCTGCAATGCTTCGACTGGGATGTAGATCAATGTGGTGCTGTTGACATGACCGAAGGTGTCGGGCTGTCAATGCCGATGGCCAAGCCATTGGCAGCAATCTGTCGGCCCAGGGAGTTTGTCAAGAGTGTGTTATCTGCTTCAACATGAATAGCCGAATGCAGGTTTCTGAAGAATACTTGCAGCTAGATGTGCATTATCAATGTTATAGCATATTCCATCTCCACTATGCATTTGTTCATGAAGTGAAACTGAATGAGGATGCAAAAGGGCGAGACGAGGGAATTTGATGGTTTCATGATATATTTTTGGTGTAATATCTGGAAAGAAAGCAATAGAAGAACATTCCAACAGGTGAACTGCAACCAAGACAATTTGCTTTCTTGAGCAAAGCAGATGTTGATCAATATCAACTGGCCTTTAATAGTCGCGACATCAACAATGAATTGTAGCCGGTGACATGGTTCAAGGCAGGATGTTTCTTCTTCGTCTGCAATGTGTTGCGGGTGATCTTAGTTGAGTCTTGTTTCCCTGTTGCTTCGGTTCCTCTGTTAGCACTTTGGCTGTTGCCGTATGCAGGTTGTTTCAGCTGCTGTATTATTTGGCTGCTGGCTGTTCTTTAGTCTTGGTTTTCTGGGCCTGTTTTTTTTTTCATTTTGGGCTGTACCTATTGTTCTCTCTTCTAATAATAATATAACACGGCAAATCTCTTGCCGTATTTTCAAAATACATAAAAATTTATGCAGCGGTTTCATAGAACAAACAGACTGAAAAATGCCAGTTGCAATTAGTGATGATGTATGCCCACTGAAACTGATTTCAAATCTCAAACCAGCAGTGCCCTCTGATTGAATCATTTAGAAATGCCTCTGGTTTCTGATGGTTCAAATTAGCTTTCTGATTCAGAGATCCATTTGATGGTTAACATTACCCTTCTTACTTCTGACAATCAGAAAATTAATATTAGCTGTCTGATGCATAGACGATCTTATATTTAACATACAAGAATGTAACGTGAAAGATTAGGCATATTTGAATTATCCTTCTGAATTCTGATTGAGGTATCTTATTAGTTTTCTATTTTGTCTTTTTTTTTTTGGAAAGTTTCCTATTTTGTCATGTAACCTGTAAGCAATATAAAAACCCTAGATTGCCGGTTCCAGATGAAATTGCTAGAAGCAGTATCATGTTCTGCTTGCAATAGCATATACGAAACAGAATTCACCAAGGACCCTTGGTACCTAACATGGGTCTGTTCTTTCATTGCTGAAACGAAGCAAACAATCTGAAGCATATGGATATAGTGAGCATCCACTATCCACCACCTTGTCAACGTCAAAAAGAAAAGAAAAAACTAGTTGGAGAAGTTGCCCCAGCTCCAGTTGCCTCTGTTTTTTTCTTTGCAGCTGTACCTTCTGTCTTTGTTCTCTCTTCTAATGAAAACTTCACACCAAAGCTCTTGCCGTCCTTTTCAGATGAAAAGAAAGCCTGGAGTGAGAGCAAGAGATGAAGAGAACATAACTTTTGGTATTAGGTTGCAGATCTTAGGTGTGCATACTAATGTCACCTGAAAATAAATTCAGTATACTCAGCTGCTTATGAAAGACTCTTTCTCAGAGAAACTTCTCAGCTATGGTACAGTGTTTTTCTCTCGTAACAAAATAGCATCAGCTGGCTTATCAGCCGAACAACTTGTAATACAAGTGTAAAAAAAAATAGTGTAGTAGCCCGATGGCGGAATTTGAAAACACAACAAACGGTAAAAAGAACTAATAACTAGCCCCATGGGGAAAAATAGAGAAATAAAATAACATTTTCTCTGAAGTAATCAGATCGTGCGATCTTCCTATGAAAAAGTAATCTCCGTATCTGAGATCAGGTAAGCAATCTGCATACGACAAGTATCCTCCCGTGTTCGGATTATAGCCAGCATACGAAAAGCATGAGCATAAACTATCTTGTGGCACTTGTCACAGACAAGAGTCGGTTTCAGTTACCTTTAACAGGTCTAACTACTGCTGAAAATTACTGCCCAACGTCTTGAGAAGCTTCTGTATATCTTCTCAACAAATCTTACCTTGAGGTCAATGTCGTGTCGTACCAGAAAGGCGGCTAATACGGACACAGGATCATGGAGGTAGGCCTGATCAAGTCCAGATTTTCTTGCACCCATGTCAACCACTCTCTGTACTTCGGCAGCACCAACCATGCACCACGTCACCAGTAGACATCTCTTTCTCACATTTTTTTTCTGCTTTCTAGACTAGATCTAGACATGTATGGCCTCCTTCAGAATGCATCCACCTAGAGCTGATGTGGCCGAACATGACACCGAGAGAGGAGACTTTTACAGACCACATGCATCTGCAACCAACGGTGCAATGCCTGATGAGTCAGTAATCCAGTACATGAAATGGCAGAAAAGAGTAACCGTGGAAGAAACTCCTAGTAGAAAAGGAACTTTGTCTGGCTTTTGGAACAGGAGATTTGACTAATCTTCATCGTTTTCCCTCTCAGGAGGAATACTTGTGCTCATTTATCACATGAACTGGCATCCAGCATACTGTCTAATCGGTTTGGAAAACTTTGGCAGTTGCCCTCCCTCTGAAGACAGGAATATCAGAACAAATCGGCTTTTTTCGCCAATTAGCAATCACTATCACTTTCAGGTTGTAGTGTCCTAGACGATAAGCCAAATGGACAGAACATCTGGAGTTAAGATCATACTGCAAGTTACAGGATGGAGGGCAACTTGGTACCTGAACTGACATCAGCGCAGCACTTGCAACAGGGAACAGGCCAACAGGGTTAGCAAACAAGCGATGTGTTTCCTGTTCAGGCCATCTAAAAAAAAGGCAGTGAGTGATAGACAAGGACCTTCAGCTCAGCCAAGTAATAATGAAATAAAGAAGCATACCAGAGTGGACAAACAAAGGAACAAGATACCAATGGGTCCCTGCGAAATTGTGCTTGAAAAAATGCACCTAGATCTGCATATCTGACCGAAAAGGACATATGTTGGTCCTGCCCCCTGCAGATATGGTTAAGTATGTGGGAGCCTGGGAGGAAGAGGAACCCTAGGTGCCTCTCCTTTTCTATCTTGATCAAGTTGACTCAGTATCAAATGCAAGCCCTATCCATCCCCAACCCAAAGCATCCGGATTCCGACGTCATCGCCGGCACACTTGCACAAACAAAGGAGAGCAAGATGGCAAGAACTCGGCTTCCGTCTCATCTCATTCTCACCATGAAAGACTACCTAAAAAGTACAGGTGGTCAGCTTCCAGTGCACTTGTGACAGCAGCAGTCTCCCACTAAAGCAAAAAGAGAGAGAAAATTGATGCCTGGTGAGAGTTAGGAGAAAGAACAGCATGTGGCCATGATGCATCTACAGTATATAATAACTCAATTATTGGATCCCAAAGGGATAGCACCGGGCATAAAACAATATACTATTGGCCTCACCTTTGCAGCTTTAGTTGTTAGTTCTCTCATCACTTTTTTTCAGATCACAAGGCTGTAATACTGATAGGAGAGATCCCGGAAAGCATGTGTGTTTTATAGAATAGAACACCATCGTTGAATAATGATCAGTACTAGTCTTGCTGTTGTCGCCTGTAGATCTGGATTATTGTGAGTTCTGACCTAACCAGCGTGCTTTTAGTACAAAAAAGGTTGTGTTGAACTGTGTCAGCAGTGTACAGCACACAATTGTCCAACCAACAGTAGTGCACAAGGTCGACAAGACAAGATACCAGTTGCAGGATTGCCTGTTTTGGCCTAACCTAAGAGTCACCCTAGAGTCCGAAATTGTCGGCATTCCTGATAATCCCAACAAGATTCATGACTTTGTGAAATGGCAAATCGCTTTCATGCATAACATAACATCCTCTGCAGAGTAGTAGCCAAATGGCACCTGTATGAATGGGAGAAACTTTGCCATGAATTGTATTGTCACTCTCTTTTCTTTTGGAAAAAAGAACAGGGGTGCACACATCAACAAGTGAGATGGGGGTGAACCAGGAAATCAAATCGCCATGGGCCATGGCAAGTGGAGTAGTAAAGATTTATATATATGTATATGTATGCATGGGCCAGAGCACAGAGCCAGACAGGGAAGAAAGAGGAGATAGATAAGCAACTTGATCGATATCCACTAACTCCAGACAAAGTTCTTTACCTCCAGATTCCTCACAAAGGCCCTCCACAAGACCTCAATTATTACCCTCCAAAAAAAATTCCATGTTCCTCCTACCTCATCCTCCTTTATAAAGCAGCAAACTGCAAACTGCTTCTGATGCACCATCCAGGGGCTGCAACCTAAAGCAAGAACAAGCTTCAACCTTGCAGAGAGCAGAACTAGAGCAAAGCGAGAGAGATGGAGCAAGGAGACGAGGCGTCGTCAGTGAACAAGGAGAGCCCAGAGCAGCAGCTTACCAGGGACGACGGCGCGACGTGGCTGAACCTCACGCTGGGCGCGAGCGAATCGCCCTCGCCGGACGCCGCGGCGGTAGCCGCGGACGCGAGCTGCTCCGCCGAGTACGGGTCCGGGTCCGGGTCCGAGCCCGGCGCCAACAAGCCGTCCGCCGCCGCCCCGCACAAGGTGTTCTCCTGCAACTTCTGCCTGCGCAAGTTCTTCAGCTCGCAGGCGCTGGGCGGGCACCAGAACGCGCACAAGCGGGAGCGCAGCGCCGCCAAGCGGTCCTACCACGCGCAGCGGATGATCGTGGGCCTGCCGCTGCACGCGCACGCCGCGCTCATGCACTCGCTCCGGGTCAACCCGGCCTCGTCGGCGATCCACAAGGCGGCGGCGAGCCAGCAGGCGGCGCCGATCAGAACGGCGGCGAGGTTCCTCGAGGACAGCGGCGTGGCCGCGGCCTGGGGCACGATCGCCTGCGAGGAAGCGCCCAATTCGGCGTGGCCTGGGAGCTTCAGGCTGAGAGCACAGCACACAGAGCATGAGCAAGCGTCTGAACAGAGTAAGATCGACTTGAACCTCAGGCTCTGATAAACTGCTGAAGTGCATGAGCAGGTCTGGTTTGTTGAAGTGCATGAGCTAATCAAGGTTCATCTGCTGAATAAACTGGTCTGGAGATGTGCCCGGCTCGTTCGGCTGGTCAGGTTTGGGATGATTTTTGATGATTCAATAGTATTCTGTGAGAGAGAATAAGCTGAAATAAGCTGGGACCTGACCAGCGGAGATCAGGTTCAGCTCACTATGACACTGTCAGATGAAAAACCATATGGTGGTACTGAATTTTGGACATATTGGTGTTGTTTATGAGTTGCTGTTAGAATTATTTAATGGTACTACAAATTAAGTACTCCGTATTTCTGTAGCTGGAAAATGTACTTAGCCCTATTGACATCAGTGAGAAGAACTCGTTGATTCTGCACTTTCTAGTTCCTACTGACCATATATCGGCCACATCCTCATCAGTTTTCTTCCATGTTTTGACAGTTTTTGTTAACAAATCCTCTCAAAAGAAATTGAGACAAAAGTATTTGCGTACAATAATTGTGCAGAAACTCCCTGAATTCTTATGACAAACAATTCAGGATTAGAATAACACAGCTCTGGGGACAAGGACAGCAACATAAGCAGGAAAACATGGAGTTAGAAGTTGGGCTGTGTTGCGTGCTACATAAGTTCATCCAAATTTAGTTATGCAACACATAAATTTGTCACGACAAAGTAGTGTTCATCCCAATTTAGTTATGAACACATGAACTTGTCACGACAAAGTAGTACTGTGTTGCGTACTACATAAGTTCATCCCAGTTTAGTTATGCAACACATAAATTTGTCATGACAAGTGTGCCCATCTCAATCCATGTCTCCGTTTAAAGTAAGGCAATAGCAGGAAGTAACTTGGCACAATTAGTTGCCTTGGAAGCTCAATCAAAGTACTCCATCTTGCAAGAGCTGCACAGTGGCCGTTGTAGGTAAACGAGAAGCATGCTTTCAGGGTTCATACACACAAAAAAATACAAGTGATAATACAGATCATTGAAACCTCATGAGAGCACTTACACAAGACAGGCCTGAAGCAAGTTGTGCCAATTTTGTTATGTTGACAGGGAACACGTTTCAGGCATGCATCAAACACACTGCTTCAGATATATTTCCAAAATGGTAATTCGCCCGTTTGAGCAAACCAGCATACGCAATATTATCAGAACAAGTGTATATTGGCAGGATGGCATCAGAGTAAGCAGATAATTGGGCTGCATGCAGCAAACAAACATCCATTTTCCACCTGAGATTCAGAGACCGGCATCTTGCCCACATGTCATGTTTCAGGGGTTACCTGAACTACCGATCTGTGGTATGTCAGTGTTCACTTTTAATATCTCCGTAGAATCAAATTATGAGTACCATTAAATCTCTAACCATAGTCAAAAGATGCTCCGACCATAGGAGTACATGTGTTAATGATTAGGGATTAGCAATGAACAGGCCTCTATTGTTTGGTTTAGACAATAGTTGCAACAAATAGGCAACCATATATTACCACTGTCCAAAATAAGCATAATACTGAATTTGTTCTAGCTGTACAAGTCCCTGCATATAAAAGTAGGTATATCACACACTTGACAGGTACTACCTCCGTCCCAAAACGAATGCAATTCTAGGCACATTCTTTGTTAAAATACCTAAAGTTTGACCAAATATATACTATATATAGGTAAAGACATTAATGTTGATGACACCAAATAGGTATACTATGAAAATATATCATGACAAATCTAATGAATATGGATACATTTTTTTTATATATAATTAGTCAAACTCATGATACTTTAACTTCGTATTGTGCTAGAATTGCATTCTTTTTTTGGACGGAGGAAGTAACAGAATTTGTTACTGAGATCAATCAGATGGAAGGGTCTAACGTATCAAACATTACATTTTGTGGCCAACAGACCAAGGCAAGATGTGACTAGGATATGATACAAAGAATACAATTCACAAAACAAGAGCATGCCTGGCCTCACTACTACTGACTCAGCGGCGACTCCTAAAGAACCTCACATAAATAGCTTTCAGCACCCTACTTAACTGAGAAGAAGCTCATCACACAGTTATGCTCCCCTGTCCCTAAGAGCTCAAGGAGAGCTCAGATTGTTAGCCTTACAGTGGTGCCATCCAAGAGCAGCTACTCATCTAAGTCTTCAAAGTATGAAGCAGGGATCACAACAGGGGGAAGAAGCGTTGACACACATTTGAACTGTTCCAAACGATTGGAGAGTTAGACTCACAATGCCATTACGACATTAGCATTCATATACAAGGAAGATTACTAGACTTTAGAAGATGTGTATACCTTGTGTTGCTTGTACTTGTCTCGAATTGCCATTAATGATGGGCATTTCCTGTTGAGCTGCAAGTCATGTATGGCTACAATGCAATCCTTGAGTTCAGAAACTTTGTAGCCTGTCATCTTCTGCAACTTCGTGTTCTATAATTACATGCAAAAAAAATGAAGGATAATGAGCCTTGAGAAACAGAGAGATCCTTTGCAGGCATCAAGAAGATCCTTCAGTTCCTTACCCAAGGATTGACATTTGGATCAATGGTCAGCCTAGCAACAAACATAACTGAAGCAGCAACAAAAGATGGCAAGAACCGGAGACAGCCATAATCTAGTAGGCTCAACTCAGCGAGGTAGCTCCCCAAGAATTCCATTAACAAGATGGAGCGCTGCAACAAGGATGCAAAGAAAAACATCAGACATCAATGCACATTGAAAGAAGAAAACAATTGGATATGATAAATCAGAATGGGTTAGCAACCTTCTTGTCTTCATGAGCAGATCTTGTGAACCGCCTGAAATCAGCGAAACAAAAGACATGTGGTAGCAGATATTCTATTAGCCAACATGTTCAGATGGAAATTAAGCAATAACATGAAAATATGAACTTGTGGGTCAGTGGGCACGCCACCTCAGGAAGGTCTTGATGGTAGGATTGCCCAACTCGAACTTGAGAAGCTTGAGTATGTCGCTCTCCATCTTGAGGAGCTCCTCTTTGGTGTAGGTGTTGTCTGTGATGTAGCAGAAGTCCTCAGGATGAGGCGGGCTGATCTCCTCGTACTTCCTGCAAGCACCGGACCCGAATCAATCCCCATTTCTTCAATGCCCCAGAATTAGAAGCAAAGGGCACAATGTGGGTGGCACTTACGCAGCAATGAGCATGGAGGCAACGCCAAGGAGCTGCAGCTTGTCACGGCCGAGCACATTGACAGAGAGGAAGCAATCGACATAGGAGATGGCGAGGTAGAGCGTGTCAGCAACGAGCTTATACTCCTCGGCGACCTCGACGAGCCAGTCGACGAGGATGCTCCGCATGTGGGCCGTAACGTCCGCCTGCACCGCCTCGATGTAATCGGATCTGGACCGCCGCCGCTGTTCCACCTGCACCCGCAGCCCCAAATCCGTATCAAGCCAGCGTCAGATCAGACGAGCCCCAATGCAGATGCGTCGAATCTGCGGAAATGCGAGAGGGGTTGGAGAGCGGAGCGGAGTGCAGTACCTCCAGGGAGCGGAGGTAGGTGTAGATGTCGGAGGCGTAGGACCCGCAGAGCTGGGGGTCGGCGGGCGCCGCCGCCGCGCCCGGCGAGGAGGAGGCGGAGGAGTCGGTGTCAGCGGTGGCGCGCGGCGCGGAGAAGGAGGCGGAGTTGGACTCGGCGGCGCGCGGCGGGGAGGAGGACGCGCAGCGCTCGGCCTCGGCGGCGGCGGCGGGCCCGCGGGCCTCCGACGCGCCGGGCCTCGCGTGCCTCCCGGGCCTGGACGCGGGCGTCGAGGGCTTGACGGGGCGGGACGGCGCGCGGTGGGCGGCGGCGTTGTTGGCGAGCGCCGGGAGCTCCCCGAGCGCCACCCGCCTCCGCTTGGCGTCGCCGGGACCCTCCGCCGGCGCCGCCGCCGCCGCGCGCTTCGCCGCGGCCCGCGTGAGCCGGGGCCCCGCCGCGGCCCGGGCCCCCGCCGAGGGAGCTGCGTTCTCCTTGTCCGCCATCGTCGGCCTCGTCAGCGGCGGGGGAAGGGGGACGCGGAGGCGGACGCGAAGGCGCGGGCCCCTAGCTAGGGTTTCGGCTCAGGTCTGCCTAGGCTGGACGGGGAAATGCCGAAATGGGGAACAAATCGAGACGGTTAAGTAACGAGCGCAGGCTGCGGAGGAGAGAGGAGGAGGCCGCCAAAACGCGATTTCAAAATGAGCGAAGGGAGGGGGAGCGCGGCGGTTCTCGCTTGGGTCTCCGGCGGGAGCAGCGCGCCCCTGTCCCCGCTCTGGCTCCTGATCTGAAATGCGGAGGCGCGGTGGTGGCGGCGGCGGGCGGAGGGGGCCAGGTGTTTGCTCTCTCTGTGTTTTTTTTTTTTGGCGCGGCCCGTGGTTTTAATAAAAATTAAAAATTTGTGAGGGGAAAAGGGGGCCGGCAGCATGTGACGCCGTGACGGTGTGAGTGTGAGTGTGGTTAGGCGCGACGGCTGGCGATTAAATATTTCCGAAAATCCGAGGCGTGGGCCACCACAGTGTACCGCCACTTTGGGCTTCTCGGAGCCCACGCGGCCCAGGCGCGGGGGCGGCAGGAGCTAGTACGCCGTACGCGTCGCCCGGTCGCCGGCGCACGAGCAGTCCGGCCGAGCACGAACACGAGGAGCAGAGCAGGCAGCGTTACCTCATGGCGACCTGGCCCCACCCTGGCGGCTCTCTGATGACATGAGAGGGGCCGCCGATGCGTCGGCCTCGGCCCCGATCTCCAGGAGGCCGTGCATAGCCCAGCCCCAGCTGACGTGATTTGTTTTGGGCCTTTTGGCCAATCTTCGAGTACAACTTTTTTTTTTTCGGCTTTCTCTTGTTCTCATCGATTTTTATTATGGGCGTGCTTGGTTTTTTTACCAAAAAACACTGTACTAACCTTGCCAAGTCAGAATATCAAGTGAGTGGTGTGTTTGAAAGTCAACCTAGTTTTTCTAGGGACTTGTGCGAGCAAGGATTGCCTTGCTACTTGAA